AAATAAAGCAATAAAATATTAAGTAACCTAAACAATCTAGATCTCATAATGTAAGATGGAAACAACTTGGCTTGCACTCCACTCAAACTCTCTCTCTTCGGCCCCTTCCACGCGACCGCCCTACGACCAACCGCCTCACGTGTGCGCCGCCTTCATCGGCCCTACTCCTTAAGGATTAGGACACCGCCCTTAGCCCGTGCACGCTCACCCGGCATGCGGCGCACGCTTGCGCCCCTCGCGCCACCCTCGCGCGCGTGTCCATCCGCCAGTCCGCACTCCTCGAGGACTACGGCTTCGCGCCCCGCGCGTCCTTCCTCATCAGGCGTGTTGTGCGTGCCTTCGCTCCCGGCTGCTCCTCTGCGCGCGTGCTGCCCTGCCTTTCCGCATGCCTCGAGGCATGAGGCCTCATCTGCTGCGCGTGCCTCCCCCGCGCCTGACTTTTCCGCGCGCGCGCCCGTCAACCCCGCGCTACGCACGTCCTGCCCACCTACACCATGCGCGCCATTTGCGCACACCGCCCGCACATCCGCGTGCTGATCATTTTCGCTCGCCCCGCGTGCATTACGCTCGAGTGCGCGTACTTCTGCCGTCGCCCGTGCTTGCCTCTTGCGTGCATGGTAAGCTCGAATTGCGGCGTTCTTGAGCTGCCTAGCCACTTCCGCATCAGCTGGGCACTGCGTTGGGGCGCTGGGCGCTATGCTACGCGCTGGGGCGCTGGCGTGCGCGCTGGCAGCAGCGCACCAGGCCCGGCAGACAGGCAGTAATCCAAATGGACCCGACCGTCTTTAAAATTCACTAACCGGTTGACTTTAAATTTTTACACATAGAAATAGACTCAGAAAGACACATTTTCACCAAGTTTTATACTCAAGACCTCAGTTTAACCTGAGCAACCAATTTTTACGAAAAAAATGATGCAAATATGAGTTTACAAGTTCTCAGGGCAATCCTTGGAACTTTTAAATAAAATTTAAACACAATACACATAACACTAGAATAATGTCACTCACCAAAAATCACATCAAAATACCAAGGATACAAATTTTAATGATTTTTCGAAGTTTCTGCCCAGAATTTCAAATTGACATTTGACCTAGCTACAGATATTATTTCGACCTGAAACTTTTACACCACATAACATACCAAAATAAGGTCATACAGTTTAAATTTCACAGCAATCCGACGAACACACGATTTATGATGATTTTTGTAAAAATCAGCAGCAACTCTCGATTCAAAAATACATATATGACCAAATACTCAACAAAAACGTCTAAAGCCTTCACCATAAGGCCAAAGACTCATAAATGTTCCATAGTCCACAGCCCTAACACGATTTTAATGAGGGTTCATCAAACATGCATAACAATGTGGTTCGGAGGCTTATTTCCTCGAAAACAATAGAGCTCTAGTTGACCGAGCACCCTTACTTATTTTAAGAAATTGTTTTAACCCCATATTACTCATGATTTATAAGGATTTTTGAGCACAATAAATCGTCCTAAACATGCATGCAACGAAAAGTACGATTTTAAGGCTTTAAGCTTCAAAAATCCGATTTTCTCATTCTACCCGAGAAAAACTTGATTTCTCTTCATGATAAATCTTAAAATATCATTTTATAGCTAGGATAAAAAGATAGCATGAGCTAACCTTCACCGAAGTCGAAAATGAGACTCAAGCCCTTAACTCGGGTCTCCTCGGGTCGCTATAGGCCGTGACTTGACTTGGTGGCCTATAAGTTGAAGATGGTGGCTTCTATAAGCTCCTTATACTCCCAGAGATGATATGAACTCGGCTTGGTGCAGCAAAACTCGGCTAGCACAAGAGATGGCTCGGTGCTCCTCTTTATCGGGCTTAGGCGCATGCATGCAAGGCTCTCGGCTATCTCTCTCTATATGGCTGAGTTTGGGTGAAATTTTTAAGTATCCAAGAGTGTTTACTTGCTGAAGAATGAGGTTAAATGGAGTCTTGGGCGGATTTCACTAGGTAGCTCATGGGAGACACATTTTAAGTGCTCTTTTCCCACTTCATGTGCACCTAGGGACATGGGGCTGCATTGGGGATGACTTGGGTGGAATTTGAGGAGGTTTTCAGAGCATCTTGGAAGAGGACAAAGGCTCTGGTCGGACACAGGGTGAGTGGGGGACATAAACTTACACATGTGCATTAAAATAATGCATGCACATGCACCCACTTTGGCTAAGGACAAAATGGCTTTGACTTGGATTACCCTAGGGTCAATTGGCCTGAAAAGACTCCTAAATAAGTTGGTTGCACCCTCACAATTTTGGGCTCGGTGAAAGTGGGCTGGATTTTCCCGAATTGGGCTCGGAAGGTGGGTTGGTGTGGGCTGGGTGCGCGCTGTGCGCTGCCTGCGCGCGCTGGGCGCTGTCTGCGCGCGCTGCTGCGCGCGTGATGAAGGATCAGGTGTTGCGTTCCCTCGACTTGTCTCGATCACGGCTTCGCCACGACCTTGCTCTCGACGATAGGTGTGATCGACTCGGTTATTAGCCTAACTCTCTCACGATACTTGAGTTCACTCGGGTATTAGCCTCGCTACACTCTCGAAATAGATCGAGTCTTAGCCTCTCTAAATCGTTGAACTGGCTTGGGTCTTAGCCTCACCAATTCGGTTGCATGATCAAATTCTCACGAACCCTAACACACGGTTTGAACAAACGTTCCTTTTCTATTTCATCAATTCTGGACATGAAAAATAATGAGGGAACATCCTTATTTATAGATCCTAACTATGAATAATTCTAATCTACCTAGGAAACCTATTAAAGCAATAAAATATTAATTCCTAAACATTCTAGATATTAATTTGCAAGAAGGAAACTAAATATCTAAAGTCCTAAATTGACTAGATCTTGATTTTGCT